ATAACTATGCCACTAATGGAGGGCCACCACTTGCAATTTAACTCTTTATATGTACCTTTATTTTATTTATCAATCTTTTTTGACTTTTGAGATATGATGGATGGGATCATTGACTTTGCAATGATTATAATTTCGGGCCCAAAATCACTTCAAGTATTCTCTTTTAACCCTCCTGCTCGCTTTATTCAGAAATGCATTGTATGGCAATATAAACATAGTGGGTTTTGGAATATATCAAAGATGAACTTGTAGTCAAATAGGTCAAAACACATTTGTGTAACGTAATATTTTCAATAATTTATCTGATTTTCTCTAAACACCTAATTACATAAATGAAATTATATTGTAGTTTGATTAGTTATGTATGAATTATCTATAGATTGGTAATTTAATGTCTTGTAATGGTAAGTCCTTTATCTATCTTGTTTTCTCAGTTTTTATTTTTCTTATGGAGAACAATTGATGCAAGGTTTCTGATGTATAATCAGTATTTTCCTGTTTTAAATCACCAAATTCAAATAGACAATAAAAAATCTTTTCATTATGGATCTTGTTTCTTTCGCTATTTTAATTAATAGGGACCAAATATGTTAAAACAAAAGAAGTAAAAAAACAGGAGAAAAGTGGTCATATATAGACGCAAGCAAAAATGAGGAGTAAAAAGCTGAAGAGATAAGGGTAATGTGCAGCCAAATCTCTTTAACGGAAGTTCCTGTAGACAGGGCTGTACATGCAGCTCTCTGCCATCTTGACGAGGTCCTTAGGACGAGGGAGGTTCGATGCGAGTCCTGTACCGAACAAACAACAACAATACATCAGATTTTGCTAAAGAAAGAGAGTTATTTTCGAAATGAAGAGTTATGTAAACTAACCGAGTTCATAAGTTTTGGCTCCCACACTGGCTGCAATGTTAGCAGAGATCTTTCTGATGTTTGCAAAAGGCGGATAAATCAGTCCTTTGGCGAAATTCTCTTCAGTAACTTGCGAGGCCAGCGCTTCGGCTGATAAAACAGATATGAACACACAGTTTACAAAAGATTAAGCAAAAATGGTCTAGATAGTAGTAACCAGCTTAGTGCCAGAGTATGTACTTTTATCTGACAATGCATCAGTTTCTTGAAAGAGTTTTAAAGGAGTGTCTAGTACTTACAGGCTGCTAGAAGCATGTCATCACGGACACGAATGGCACCGGACATGATCAAACCAAGACCGAGACCCGGGAAGATGTAGCAGTTGTTTGCCTGACAAAAAAAGGGATGTTATCAGAAGAACATGAGCCGTTGGATTGTCGATAAAAATGTTACAATAAACAACAAACGAACCTGTCCAGGCAAGAATTTTTTGCCATTATACTCAACAGGGTCAAAGGGGCTTCCACTTGCAAAGATTGCACGACCCTATAACCAAACACAAGCTTTGTTTACTCGCATCAAATGCAAATTTTCTTGTGGGGTATCAATAATAAGCTCTTGATCGTTACCTTGGTCCATGTGTAAGCTTCTTCCGCCGTGCACTCGGCTTGAGAAGTTGGGTTTGAGAGAGCAAGAATCAGGGGTTTCTGTTACCCACCAACACCAAGATGAGCATCAGATACAAGAGCATAGATACCGAGAAAGCAGATCGAAAGAAAGAAACAAAACCTCGTTGAAGGTGGCCATGGCCTCCACTACTTCCTTTGTGAAAGTCTTACCCACACCAGAGGTTCCAATGAGCACAGTTGGCTTAATTGCCTGATTTAAGACAAGAATTATAAAGTCTTTTTGAACTTTTTTTTTTCTCATCTAATGGTGAAGAGACCTTAAGACGAGTTGTTTAAAAGTACATTAACAGCTCCCAAGAGCTCCTTGATAGGCTCGTGCTCATGCGCCCATGGCTGCTTGAAATGCTGAAGTGATTCTTTGCGTGTGCTAACAATCAGTCCCTGCAAGATTAATCCAAAGGATGTATCATAAATGAACAAGAAAGCAATAGCTAACAGTCTTGTAATCAACAATACCTTAGAGTCCACAAGCCAAATCTTGTTCCGGGTCTCATCGATTGATTTTCCAGTCTGCAAAACAATTAAGTCAAAGATTCTTTAGCAAGGAGAAATGGCAGGAAGGCGAAAGACTATCTAACCTCTTTTGAAATCTGAAGAGCGATTAGTTCAGCGATTCCGGTTCCAGCCTTCAGAGAGAGATAAAAAAAGCATGAGCATCAAAGCAAATACAGGGGGGGAAAAAAGCTTATTCAGTATATGTTTTCAGGTCTCACCTCTCCGGCACCCAAGAACAGAAAGGTATGGTCAGATAAGCTTTTACCAAGTACTTTCTGAGCCGCAATAAGCCCAGCAAGCACCACGGATGCAGTACCCTGCAATATTATATAGACAGAACAAATTCTTAACTAGTCACTTTTCAGAAAACTCATAAAACAGTATCAATCTCGGAAGAACAAGATCTTACTTGGATATCATCATTGAAAACTAGATGACTGGAGCTGTACTTGGACAGAAGCTCAAACGCGTGGTGGTTAGCAAAATCTTCAAACTGAAACCAAAAGTACTTATAATGCTATATATCAACACAATACTAGAGAGAGATCTTTTTAGCAATATTGATCATATGATTTACCTGCACCAACACTTTTTCTCCATAGTTCTGTTTAACAGCACACATGAACTCATGCAGAAACTCTGCATATTCCTGAATAACAAGAGCAACCAGACTCATCAGTTTCTGAAACATCGGTATTTCTAACACAAGAAGACTGGAGAAACATAGGAAAGAAAGTAGTTAACCTCTCCAGTTGCCCTCTTCTGTTTAAGGCCAATGTAAAACTCATCATTCAAGAGCTTCTCATTGTTTGTACCCACATCAATGGTGATCGGAAGACACTGCACGTCAAATCGGGTTTACATATAAAGAAATCAAGCATAACCACCAATTTCTTAGATGATAAATTCAGCAGCTATTGTCTCCGTGCTTACAGCCGATGGACGGATTCCTCCCAAAGCTGTGTAAAGAGAAAGCTTCCCAACTGGAATTCCCATTCCCTGTAAAACATTTCCCACCATTCAAATCAACAAAAGATAAAAGCATATCACAAGAGGGATCGAGTTTTCGAGTGCTAAAAAACTCTGTTTACCTGGCAACCAAGATCTCCAAGACCCAGAATACGCTCACCATCGGTGACAACAATAACTTGAATCCCTCTCTGTGGCCAATTCTTCAATACTTCAAGAATCTTTCCCCTTCAGAATGCCATATATTACTTTAGAAATGCAAAACAACTGAATGAAAACACGGTTTCAGCGAGTATCAAACCCTACTTCTCTTTCAAGCTGATGTAAAGTCCCTGTGGCCTCCTGAAAATGCTTCCATACTTTTGGCAAGCCTCGCCAACTGTTGGAGTGTACACAACAGGAAGCAATTCCTCCACACTATCGATCAGAAGCTTGTAAAACAACCTCTCATTCCTCTCCTGAAAGATTCAGATTCAATTCGTCAGCTCGCAGTTACAACAGTTAACAAACAAAAACCAAAATCAAACAGATCTTCGGATTACACTCACCTGAAGATCCATGAGAGCCATGTAACGATGCAGAGGAACCGTGTACTGACGGAGATTATGCATCACCTTCCTCTCCTATTACAAACCACAAACTTAAAATCAACATAACCTCCAACAAGATTGGAACTTTATATAACTGCAATAGAATCATATATAATCTATAAACCTAAAAGAAATCACCTGAACATCTTGAGATAAGATCACAGGTGGAAGTAGACCAGTTAAGTAATGAGCATCTCTCTCTTTATCAGTAAAAGCAAGTCCTTTATTGTAACGAGGATCACGCATCAAAGTACAACCACTGCAACAATTT